TTGTCCATTGTCATATTGTGCCATTCACCCAAATCTGGACTTTTGAGTCAATTTGCCAATCGCATTTAATTTCATCTTGTACAAACTAAAGTATACAATGTTCAGTACACACTACACCATTTGCGTTTATTTTCAGCTTTATTTCAAAATATTTCCACCACCATCGGATATATTTCACCCACTCGCCAATATACTGTGTAGTTCACCCAACCTCCATTATATTTCACACCGACGTAAAATATCGCCGATATATTTCACCCAACCTGCGCTACTGTATAATTCACCCAACACAGATTAATTTCACCTTTCGAAAATATAATGCACTACCGGTAAAAATCATTCTAATTCAAAGCATTCTTGAATCTGAACAAGGCTGGAAGTCCGTTGCTCGTGCATATGGAATCAACGAGTCCACTGCAAAAGGATGGCTCATGTTAGATTCGTTGACACCAATGCAACGCGGTAAGCTACAGATAATACGCAAAACGATCTGATATGGGGCTACCACCGATGGTCAAACTCGTAATGCGTTTCGCATGCAATACTTGGAACACACAGCGGACGAGGCAATTGCAGGTATTCAGTCGATTTGTATCGTATTTAACTCAACAATGGAATAGGAATTGAGCTGAATCCCTTGCATGTGTACGCGGCTCGCCTTGAGCCGTTTTATGTCCGTGCTACGAAGATGCAAGACTTGGACGTTGGTGCTTGAGCCATAGATGTGTTCCTTGTGTTGGTTTTAACTCTCTCGGGCGTAAAGGATTTACTTTTCATGAAATACATTAGTGGTCAGGTGAAATATAATTTCAAAAGATGAAATTAACCGTTGGTTGGGTGAATTATATCGGGGGTTGGGTGAAATATAATGGCCAAATTTCAATTCTGCGAGAAAAATAACAGATGTTGGGTGAATTAACATGGGGTTCAGGTGAAATACATATATCCCTTGTTAGTGAAAATATATTGAAAACAATCTGAAATTAAACGCAAAATGGTGTAATACTGTTGTACTGTATACGTGTAGTACTTCGAAGTATGTTTTGCCCAATCAGTACAGTACAACAACGTCAGAGTAGTAAAAATTGCATATATAATTACGTTGGGCATACATAACAAGCCTCGGCTTAGGCGCCACACGACAGGCACTCTTCTTCCTCGGGTTCCACGGGCTTGGGGGCCTTGCCCGCATTCGCCGCCTGCTGCTTCTTGATGGCCGCTTGGTCCACCGTGAACTGAATCGCGTCAGCTTTGGGGCGCGAGCGGAGGTAGTACATACCGGTCTTCAAGCCGCGCTTCCACGCATAAAAGTGCATGGACGTGAGCTTACTGATGCTTGGGTCGGCGATGTGCACGTTCATGCTTTGGCTTTGGCAGATGAACGCACCGCGGTCGGCGGCCAAGTCGAGCACGACCTTTTGCTTGATCTCCCACACAGTCTTGTACACTTCCTTGACGTTCGCGGGGATGGACGCGACGTTTTGAACGCTGCCGCGGTCATGCAAGATCTGGTTGCGGACGTCGCTGTTCCACAGACCCAGCGAGATCAGCTCCTTCATCAAGTACTTGTTAACGATGGTGAATTCGCCCGCGAGGACGCGGCGGCTGTACATGTTGGACGTAAACGGCTCGATTGATTCGTTGTTGCCGAGGATCTGCGCGGTGGACGCCGTGGGCATGGGGGCCAAGAGCAGCGAGTTGCGGATGCCGTGCTGGGCCACTTGCGCCTTGAGCGACGCCCAGTCCCACAGATCCGACGGCGTGACGCCCCACAAGTCGTACTGGAACTTGCCCTGACTCACGGGGGAGCCCTCGTAGGTCTCGTACGGCCCTTGGCTCTTGGCGAGTTCCATGGACGTTTCCATGGCGGCGTGGTAGATGGTTTCAAAGATCTGCTGGTTCAGCACCTTGGCTTCCACCGACTCGAACGAGTACCCCATGAGGATGAACGCGTCGGCAAGGCCTTGGACGCCAATCCCGATCGGGCGGTGGCGCATGTTGCTGTTGCGCGCTTCTTGGATGGGGTAATAGTTGACGTCGATCACCTTGTTGAGGTTGGTCGTGACCACCTTGGCGATCTTGTGCAGGTGTGCAAAGTCAAACACAGCGTTCTCGACAAACTTGGACAGCGCGATGGACGCCAAGTTGCACACGGCCACTTCGTCCTTGCTCGTGTACTCGATGATCTCGCAGCACAAGTTGGACGACTTGATCGTGCCCAGGTTCTGCTGGTTGGACTTGCCGTTGCACGCATCCTTGTACAGCATGTACGGCGTGCCGGTTTCGACTTGCGACTCCAAGATGGCGAACCACAACTGCTGCGCCTTGATCGTCTTGCGCGCACGGCCTTCCGACTCGTACTTGTGGAACAGCGCCTCGAACTCGGCGCCCCAGCATTCGTGCAGCCCCGGCGCTTCATTGGGACAGAACAAGCTCCAGTCGCCGTTCGACTCGACGCGCTTCATGAACAGATCCGGAATCCACATGGCGTAGAACAAGTCGCGGGCACGATGCAGTTCATTGCCGTGGTTCTTCTTGAGATCCAAGAATTCTACCCAGAGTTATATGAGATATAAGTGGGGTGACGATGAGTAGTCTGTCAATCGTCGTACCAAAGATGTCGGCATGCCAAGGCTCCAAGTACATGGCGAACGACCCCTTGCGCTTTCCCCCGCCTTGGTCCACGTAGCGAGCAGTGTCGTTGAACACCCGAAGCATGGGAATGATCCCGTTGGAGGACCCGTTGGTCCCGCGAATGTAGCTGTTGGTGGCGCGGATGTTGTGGATGTTCACGCCAATGCCGCCAGCCCACTTGGAAATGCACGCACAGTTCTTCAATGTGTCGTAGATACCTTCGATGGAATCGTCCTTCATGGACAAGAGGAAGCACGACGACAGTTGAGGACGAGGCGTGCCGGCGTTGAACAAGGTCGGGGTCGCGTGGGTGAAGTACAATTGCGACATGTACTCGTACGTGGTCAGCACCGACTCAATGTCTTCTTTATGGATGCCCACAGCCACGCGCATGATCAAGTGTTGGGGGCGCTCGCACACCTTGTCGCCCACGCGAAGCAAGTACGACTTTTCCAACGTTTTGAAGCCAAAGTAGTCGTATTCGAAGTCGCGGTCAGTGATGATCGCACTGTTCAACACTTCCTTGTTGTCCATGATGATCTTATACACGTCGTCAGCAATCAACGGCGCGGCGGCACCCGTCTTGGCATGTTTGTTGCCGTAGAACAACTCAATGTTGTCCGAGAACAGCTTGTTCGTGTTCTTGTGCAAGTTGGAGATGGAGATACGAGCCGCAAGCTTGGAAAAGTCGGGGTGCTGGGTCGATTGGTACGCGGCGGTTTCTGCCGCCAACTCGTCCAACTCGGACGTCGTCACTCCCGCGTACACGCCGGCGACGACCTTCTGTGCGATGAGGATCGGGTTCACGTACTTGGCGTCAAGACCATAGCACAGCTTGCTGATGCGGCCGGTGATCTTGTCGAACTTGACCTCTTCTTGGCGGCCGTCCCGTTTCACAACGTACATACTTTGTACCGATGAAATTCCGAAATGAACGTTCCCCGTCGGCCACGGAACTCACTTTTTCCCTCGCTTTTCTTGGCGCGCCAATTTCTGGCGTTTCATTGGTGCGTGGTGGGAATGGAATATTTTATTCTCTCTTGGTATTTGTATGGAAAGCAACGAACGATTCGATTATTATTATTGGATCTTTTTTAAACTCGTCTTCAAAAGAAGCATATTATCCCACCAAGCCAGTAGCCAATCACAGGGGAAGCTGCGTGCCAGAGAGTGCTGAGATGGCGTACTCTGATGAATTACTGGAGTAATTCTTCAGAGCAAGGAATCTAGGCTACATAAGGCCTTGCGTTCTTCATAGCCCTTACAATGATACTTCTAGTAAGTACTACTTGTACTGACTGACCTTTCGCCATATCCCGATCAACGCATGCGTTTCATCCGTGGGATTATCCGGATACTTCCAAACTGCCGTCCGATTCGCTGAATCGGTATCCACAATTAAGCCAATCAGCGATCAGGGTGGAAAAATGGTGTGTGGGGCCAGAACCTTAAGGCAGAAGTAATTTGGAAAGCGATAGGACAGTCAAGATGGCGCCAGCTGACGACGGGTACGACATGCCTCCTCCTGTCTGGCCTCCTCATATGGATCTAGATATGACCTGATTGTGTCTGGGGACTGCGGCGGGACCAACACCCGACTCACGCTGTGGCGTGTGCCCCACAACAGCGTCCACTTGAAAGGTGCGCTACACGTCGACTGCTTTTTTCACTGCATGTTCGTTGCTTAGGCAAAATCGCTCCGGGGGAACTTGTGTTCAACCAAAAGTACCTCAATGAGAACCACGGCAGCTTTGTGGAAGTGGTACATTTGTTCCTGAAAGAAGCCGACGTCGACGATCCTCCTATTTGCTGCGTCTTGGCCTGCGCGGGCCCAGTGTTGAACAACTCCGTCGTGTATGTCACCCTTGTGCCACTCTTGCTACATGGAGCGCCGCAAGTGATGGCATGAAATCTAGGTTCACGAACATTGCGTTCGGCTGGTCCATCAACGGCGACAACTTGCAGCGAGAACTCGGCATCGCCAACGTCAAGTTGGTCAACGACTTTGTGGCCATGGGCTATGGTCTCTTAACCCTTCGGGAGCATGAATACCTGGCCTTGAACGACGTGCCGCGTGAAGTGGACGCACCGATCGCGACCATCGGTGCTGGCACGGGACTCGGAGAATGTTTCTTGACCCCGTCTGGCGAGTCTTACGAGTGCTTTCCCACGGAAGGCGGCCACTGCGACTACTCCCCAACGACGGACATCGAAGTCGAGATCTACGACAAGCTTCGCAACAAGGCAGGGCTATTACATCATCCATGGACATCTTCCTCCCTCCCTATAACCACCACCTTGGTCGACCATTTAGTTTGGCCCCAACAAGCGGCTGTCCACGGAGCGCATCATCAGCGGAAACGGCCTCGCCAGCATCTACGAGCACTTGGCGGAGAAGTTCCCCGAGAAAGTCAACAGCACGGTCCACGCCGAGTTCGAAAGCACCGACTCGTTGCGCGGCGGCGTCGTCGGCAAGAACGCTGGGTCGGATGAGCTGTGCAGCCAAGCCATGGAGATCTTTGTCAAGTACAGATGACCTCCTCATCCCCTTCATGTATAATAAGTACGCATCAGGGGGTACGGCCGAGAAGCGGGCAACGCGGCGCTCAAGTACTTGCCTCGAGGGGGCTTGTACATCACGGGCGGCATGGCGCCCAAGAATCTCGACTTCTTCACCAAGAAGAGCTGGTTCCTGGACGCGCTTTTCGACAAGGGTCGCGTCACCCCCGCGCTCAAGTCTGTGCCCATCTACTTGGTGCTCACGGAAGACTTGGGCGAGCGTGGCGCGCACTATTACTCGTACCAGGTGCGACACAAATAGCGCTACTTCGATCAACTTAGCCAGCCAGTGTGTTTAGCTGCTCAACAAATCGCGAGGCCAAGTGGCTGCTGCGGTTGCTCCGACGGCGGCTGTCGAGCCCCTTGTGTCCAAGAAGAGCAGCAGCGGTGTGGTAGCCGACTCGGCCAAGTACATTGCGGTGGTGACGGCGGCGTTGGTCGGCGTCACGATTGGGTTCCGCCTGGGAAAGAAGTAAAGTGCTGGTCGGCGGTACTAGTTGACAAGCAATCGATATGATGGATACGTACCAGCCACCATACTGTAGTGGCTTGTCCATAACGTTATATAGTACGGGGGTAATGATTGACAGTAGAGAAAGCAAACGAAGTTGTTAAATAGAGAGTAGGTACTGTAGGTGTAGTACAGTAGGCTTCTACGCGGCAGTGATGATGGCGTCGCACAGCATTTGATAGTCTTCGGCATTCCATGAGAGGTCGCAGTCGGTAGAGAAGAACGGGATCGGATCCAACCCGTCGTTGTTGTCGTCGTCTGCCGCCAGGGGAGGAGTCAACGGCACGACGGGCGAGTCGGGTGGACTCGCTTTGGTCACGCGCAGCTTGTACGCTTTTTGGAACCGGTTCGCTTTGCCGCGGTGGTACTCGCAGAGACGATGGAGCTGTCCGTTCTTCTTGGCGGATCGAGCGCGGTCGCATCGCTTGGACGTGTATTGGCATACAAAGGCCGAGTGCGGCGCGACCTTTGTCCGGACCTTCTTGTCGGTACTACTTCGTGGCATACGGAATGGAAAATGGAAACTGGTGTCATGATGCATCCCAGTGGTTGTGGGTTAAGTGAGCTGGATCGCCACTTTTCGAACGGTGGCTACTCTGAAAACAGTACTAGGTACTACTACTATGTACTAAGTACTACCCATGCGACAGAGCTCGAAATGGCCAGTCACGCAGGCAGTACGTCGAATGAAAGTGTTCAGGACCACACTCGACACGGACATGGATGAATGACCAGCCTGTCTTGCATCGTCTTGAGTGAACGACCCAACGCTGGTGGTGGTGGGGTAGCGTCGCTCTACTGGACGACGATGACTCAACCCCCTCCCTGGCTACAGGACACACGAGTACTAATACGACTTATGCTCTCATGGCATTGAGTAGCCAGTACAGATGCACATCAACCGCCGTCGCGAAGGTGGATTGTGACGACGTGGTTGCACCGACCAACACACAAGTATCTCTCCAAACGCTTTACGTTTCCAAACTAGTGTTCTTTTGCTAGATGTACATTTCCGTTTGCCGATGCTCCTAGTATGTTCTCATCCACAGAGGTGTACCCAGGGGGGTGATAAGTGCAGGCTAGCTACACCTTCCCCCTATGTCCGTAAGGTTGGTTCCATGAGCATATGTCATTGATGTATGTTCTGCCAACTAACTCGCAAAGCACTTTTCTATCTCAACTGACGACTACAGTATGGGTGCCGTTGTTTACAATTCCTTGGTCAGCCGACCGAGCCCATTCAACGCCGCCACACGGTACGCCTACAGTCGCCAGTGACATCATCCATCATCTCAGGTACCGGACGGTCGTACCTCGGCCAGCGTCGGGTAGTTGAACACAGCGTCTCGAAAGTACGTGATCTTGCAGTTCATGGCCATCGCGACTACAAAGAAATACTCACTTTATATACACATATACATGGGTTGTGTACCTTGGCCAATATGAATGATTTCCGTCGCGCCTTGCCCGATCGCATGCACGCCGAGCACCTGCACGCGAAGTGAGAACGTCGTCGAGAGGTTCGGTAGCTTACGCTTTGGGTATCCGGGTCAAAGAGGATCTTGAGCGCGCCCTTCTGGCCACCCGCCATCATGCCTTTGGCCAACTCCGAGTACTTGGCCATGCCAACCTATGTACATAGTCGTCGTCACAACCTATGAACAATCGAACGACGTCGTACAGCGTAATTCCGGCCTTCCTTGGTCAACTGCTGCTCGGTCTTGCCCACCATGGAGATCTCTGGAATCGTGTAAATGCCGTACGGGTAATTGCCAGAGTCCAACTGGCTCGTCGGCTACAACACAAAAAACACTCTACCGATTGCTTCATCGTATGTCCCTACCTGGTCTTCGTGATGCCACATATCACACGCAGCCAGCCGCCCTTGCTCTAAACTCGTCGACGCGAGCGACGGTGCGCCAATGCAATCTCCCGCCGCATAACTGCAGTCGCCACTTTAGCCACGAGATGGACTATATATATATATATATATATATTTGTATATATATTTGTGTACATGTGGGGCTGGCTGGTCTGGTACTGCTTGTTCACGGTCAGGAGACCCCGTTTGTTTTTGGCCAAGCCCACGCCTTCCAAGTTGAGTGCGTCCGTGTTGGCCTACCAACGAGAATGAGTATCATACTTGTGAAAAATATTAATATAATATTTGCTATTTTGTCAATATTTGATACTACATATCTCAAAGTCGAGGGATCGTGAAACGATTATTGTCAAGTCGAGTCGAAATTGGAGGGGGGTGCGCAATCGACAGATAATCGATGCTCGACCAATCAAAACCCACAACACGAATCAAGTAGCCAATCAAAACCACCCATACTTCAACATTGTGTGGGAACATACAAACGTCAGTACAACCAATCGATCGACGGATTTGGCAAAGAATCCGCCCAATTGGGGTCAAAGGGCCATAAGAGTACCTGACGGCCGACGCAGTAAAGCAACGCTTCAGCAAAGCTCGACTTGCCACTGGCAAAGTCCACTCGCACGCCTTTGGCCACCCGCTACCAAGTGAAAACAGTGCTGAATATGGAGATAAAACGCAGGGCTGAGATACAGTGACAGATTGAATGGTTTCACCGAGGAGGAACCGCGCCCCTTTGTGCCTCATCTCCATCTTCAACGCGCTCACAATCTCGTCGTCGCAAAACGTCAAGATCTAGCGACACGTTTCAGCAGAGTGTTAGACATCCTTGAATCGATTGGTCGTACGTCTGGTCGCCCATCGACCACCGTCACGGCCACCCCCGGCAGCACATTGAGCATGGACGCGTACTCCATTCCTATCGTTTCGCTAGTTTAAAACGTCCGTTCACTGCGACGAGGTACCGATGACGCCCGCGCCGACCACGATCCACGACTTGGGAAGCTCGCCTTTGGACGCTTCCAGGATGCCGTCGCTGTCCAAGATGACCTCGCCGTCCACGGGCACCACGGGAGAGTGCGCCGGGTACGTGCCACATGCGATAAGGAACTTCTTGCCGCGGTAGATCATGCTAAGGATGGAAATGTGAACAACAACGCGCAGCAGACGCGTACGCTTCACGGTGGACGGTGCCGTTTTCGACCGACACTTCGTTGGCATTTTCAAAGCGCGCCTTGCCGGGAATGATCTGGACGTGCGCTGCTTTGAGCTGGGCTCGGATGACGTCCATTTCAGACGACACGACCACATTCACGCGGTGCAGAATGTCGCTCAACGTAATGCGCTCGCGGGAGTAGGACTTGCCGTAGAATCTGCATGAAGACGACGTAAAGTTGATATCGTCATGTGTCGTCGTTGCAGTACCCGTGGTGGTTGAATCCAGACAAGTGAAGCACTGCTTCGCGAAACGTTTTGGACGGAATTGTCCCCGTGTGCACGCAGACACCACCGATCTCTTCGGACTTGTCGATGATCGCCACGGACTTGCCCATTTTGGCCGACTCGAGCGCACATTGCAGTCCAGAAGGCCCGCTTCCGATGACAATGAGATCGTACTCCTTGGGAGATACCGACGTCGACAGGTGGGCACACCGAGGCTTCTGAAGTCCGAAGGCGCGGCGGAGGTGATGTCGCAGCATTGTGGCAATTGGACGGCACCGGAGGAGTGCATTCACTTCGATCGTCCGGATATTTGATGTTGAGGTTGCTCGTTATCCGGAATACAACAACTTCGTGGTTTTTGCGATCTTTGGCCAGTTTTGCAATTGGTGCGATGGTCCTACTCTACAGCGACGGGTCCCCGACCACGGAGATCTCGGACGACGACCTCAAGCAGGCGCTAGTGACTGCGCTGGATAAGTTTCATGGCAAGGACAAGCGAAAGGTGATGTTCGTGCCACCAGACTTTACCCGCTTCCATTCGTACGTCGAGGACGAAGGTCATGTCGACGACGTTCTCATACATGCGTAGAAAGTCTGGCATTGTGACCCAACATGCCTACGAGTACTTTGGGGAACATGTCAAGGATATCATGCCGGCGTTGGGAACGCATGCACCGATGACTCCTATCGAGATTTCCAAGGTGACGGGTGTATGGGTGCCATCAATTGTGACCGTTTTCTTGTGTAGATGTTTGGCGCCGTACCTCACGATCTATTCCGCGTCCATGACTGGCGGTGGGTCTGCATGTTATTTCTCCCTGCATATTCTTACCTACACAGGAACGACGTGGTGAAAATCGGTGAAGTGCCGCGTGAATTGGTGCGTGAAGCGAGCGACGGGCAGGTGGACGAGCCGTGGCCAGCGCAGCTCAACAAGCTGGTACTCGTCCTCTTTTCAATTCCTCATTTCATGTCCCATTAGATCTGGGAAGGGGGCCACGACCTCATCCTGTCGATCGGCCAAGTGGTGCCCCACGAGGTCATGGGCATGGCCAACTACAACAAGAACCTGTTCGTCGGCACCGGGGGCAGCGACGCCATCAATTTCTCCCACTTCATCGGCGCCGTCTACGGCATGGAGCGCATGATGGGTACCCTTTCCTTCCTTCCATTCCCCCGATCCTTGGCTGCACGGACATTTGACTAGGCCGCGCCAACAACCCCCTTCGGCGCATTCTCAACTACGCGTCGGACCACTTTCTCACGCACTTGCCGATTGTGTACGTCCAAACGGTGATTGGTCGACGGTATGCCCTCTCCCCCATGATATTATAATATGATATATATATCTTGCTTACGCCATGGACATCTAGCGACGACGGATCGGTGGTCACGCGCGGCGTGTATATCGGCACCGACGACGAGTGCTTCACGAAAGCAGCGGCCTTGTCGCTACAGGTCAACTTCATCCTGTTGCCCGCTCCGTTGCACGAGGTACGTACTACCCAGTCTATAACTACAACGGATATATATATATATATATATTTATATATATGTACAGGTGGTAGTGCACCTGGACGCCGACGAGTTCAAAACCACGTGGCTCGGGAACAAGAGCATCTACAGGACGCGCATGGCTATAGCCGACGGCGGGACGCTGGTGGTGCTCGCGCCAGGCGTGACGCATTTCGGAGAGGACAAGCAGATCGACCTTCTCATTCGAAAGTACGGATACCGCACCACCCCCGTACGTTCGTTCGTCCCCGCCTCTCGTCCGGATCATCGTTCAACATGCAACGCTGAGTGTAGGAAGTACTTGCCCACATTGCTGCCAACCGAGACTTGATGAAGAACCTGAGCGCCGCCGCGCACTTGATCCACGGATCCCCAGAGAACCGCTTTCGTGTCGTGTATGCGTGTGCTCCGAATGGACTGACCAAGGAAGAGGTCGAAGGCGTTGGCTTTGAGTACGCCAAGCTGGACGACATGCTCGCGCTGTACCAAATCGACGGGCGGCAGGACGGATGGAACACCACCGAGGGGGGAAAGCGGTCGTTTTATTACGTGTCCAACCCGGCGATGGGGCTGTGGGCGTACGAGGGGCGCTTTGAGGCGTCGCAACTGCCCCACGTCCCCCCAGCGGAGGCGCCGGTCCAAGTGCTTACGGCGCTCCACGGAAATGAAGTGTGTGTCGACGCGGGGGTCGGGGGGGGTCCGTTCACCAAGGCCGACCACGACAAGTTGCTAGAGTAGGAGACAGTAATCCGTGTTGTAATATGGAAACAAGTTTCAAGGTTGAGGGGTTTCGTCTGATGGCAATATGCACCAATGGATCAAACACGATCGGTCCCCAAAACAATCGAATGTTGATATGCTCTCTGCCGAAATGACGAAAGGAATTAGGTTAGTATGACATGGATGAAAACGTGTACAGTACTATGCGCGGTATACTAATACTATTCTACGAATCAAGGAATCTGTTGTTGTCCATGCGCCTAGTGCAATGACGAGGCTGCTGACAAAGCAAGGGGTGACTTACTTGTGGGGCCCAACGGATCGTTTGCTGGGGCTGCGGGGGGGGCTCAAGCGGATGTAGCGTTCCCAAGCTTGACCTCGCTGTTGATTGTTTGGATTTGATGTGTTTGTTTGATGAATGTCACGATTGACACAATGACCAAGTAAACGACTGTTATGCATGCAGGGAAACGTGCCACCATATACAGTAGTCGCCCCATGGGGCTTCGCAACCCAACATGGCGTAGAAGAAGACACTGGCGACGGCCATGGCGTTCATACACGTAATGGCGGCGACGAGACTGACTGTTGTCGTCATGACGAGCGAGTTGAAGTTCGAACTCTCCATCGACCAACATTTCTGAAGTACAGTAGTCAGTTTCTGGTTTTTACTGACCAATTTGCACTGAGTCTCCAAGTCATGAATTTACTCTTTTTGATTAATACGATAACTGAAGGTAGTAACTCAGTGGTGAGGTGGGGATTACGCATCCAAGGCAACGCAAAGACTGCAGACGAAGCACGCGATAACTTGAGGGGCCCAAATGTACTGGTCCCAGCTGCTGGCCATGATAACGTTCATCAACAGCGAGAACCCCATGATCGTGACAACAACCCAAATCAGCCATGACGAATAGAAGGTCGGGAAGGCCACGTCCGCTCGAGCCAGCACCACAAGGGCCATCAATACCAACAAGGGAACTTGAAGCAGTAAGCAAATTAGTCGAGATTGCGTGGACAGCCGGCCGCTGAACCTTCCTCCCATGCAGTATTCACCGTACGGGGCGCCAAACACGAGGCTGATGTAGAAGACTATGGCGAGGACCATGATGATCGTAAAGATGACGGCGGCTACGAGGCTAACGACGGTCATGATGGAATGCAGATGAAATTGAACAATGAATGATTTGACAAGTGAGAGTGCTTCAACTCCCACGAGCCAATCAGTTGGTCTTATCTGACCTTCTAGACATTTGATTGGCCATAGACTTGGCTACAATGTTGAATCTTGAACAGGCAGCTACATTTTATACCCATATTCTTTCGACTTTTGGATTGGACAAAATGTAAGCCATACCCGTTTTGGATTGGATATTCACTATCAATTCTTTGAGTACTCGTATGAAGATGGCCTTGGCGGTGCGGCGGCTGAGCCACCAGCCACAGCAGCCACCACGAGTGATCGCGTCGCTTCGATCGCTACGGGCACTTCCACCGTCCAAAGCTCTCAAGTTTCGTTGGAAGGTAACCCACCTGTCGATGCACTAAAGCATGCACATTCATTCCACCACCAGGGCAATGTCGATGGGTTTGTGTTCCTCTCAGGGGACACACCACATGCCTACGCCAATCGGTGCAGCCATGTTGCGCTCGAATTGGACTTGAACGACGCCGACTTCTTTTCGCATGGGTTCATCCAATGCAAAGTGCACGGGGCGATGTTTGATCCAGGTAACAATCCAGCCGATACACGAAGCTAAACTGGCATAGAATCGGGACTGTGCTTGCGACCGCCACCGCAATGCAAGCGTCTGCATGTACGTTGCTTGATGACTTCGAGTTCTCAAGAATGCGTAGCCGCTTCGACGGATACCACTTGTTGTGGAGGCCGACAATGTGCTGCTGAGCGATGGCCATCCACCTGCACCGTCACAAACTCAGATATTTGACGACACTTATCTTCGCGACAAGCAGGTTCAACTGCAGGCTGCGATGGACGCCGATGCCATGGACATTCAGGCAGAAGTCGACGCCATCAACCAACGGTCCCTTCGCCTCATGGCAGCTGCGAAAAGACACACGAAACCCACCAAGTGAATTGCGCATCAACGCTACTTGTGGTTCATTGACATTATACAACAACGACCTACGTCTTGGACCCAAGTAGTAGCAGTAGCCATTGGAAGTGTGTATGGGCAGGCAAAGATGCTCAGGTCCTCAGGCAGCATGAAGACAGCATTCACATGGGTGAGAATTGTGTGATTCCGTGCAGCAAGATGCAAGTTCAATAGCAGGCAACCACGTCAGATAGATACTTCCAACATGCACACTTGTACTTGAAATGATACCTACCTGAAATGTGTGTCGCAGAAGGAGTTATGGTCACATGTAGTTGTCGTGTTTGTACAGGATTTGCACATGTTCGCAATGTCCATCGGCAGTGCAGTTTGAATGTGTATTTCACTTGACACATGGACGAGGTCGCACACGTTCCAGCTCATCAGAGTCGGCAAGCCGTTGAGTACTTCAACCGTATCGTACAGTGTGACATTAGTCTTACTGTTAAGTGCGCAGCAGTCAATCGTTACTGCACATACGACAAGGCAGAACTGTGAAATTCAACAGCGGAGTCGATTTGCATTATGACATAGTATTGCCACATCACCAGTGGTTATGTAATTTGCACCGCCAGGGGCTTTGGCAGGCTTGATTTCGGGGCGGTTAATACAGCCAAAAGCGCTTGGACAGCGTCGTGAGGAGGGGCATCTGCGGGGCCTTTGCGGAACGCCCATGGCTTGCCGTCGATATCGAGCATCCCCGTGGCTTCAACAAGGGGATTCGATGGATGGCAGCGTTTTGGGGGCAACGGCAGCACCGCACCATCTTGGGAGTACAGAACAGCCACTCCAAAGCCGTCCAACTATCCATGACAACCAAAGTGGAATGAAATTGCCAAGTGCCAACTTACATGGAGTAGATGCAGGGCAATGAACCAGTGACACTCTACGACTGAAGGATGTTAGCAGCAATCGGCATGCTTCAAAGCGCACGTGCGGAGAGGGGCTCATGGGGAAGCTGCAGCGTGAGAGATCGTTGGGTGGGATCGGCCAAGGCATGCAGAAACCGGTGGAATGTTAGACAAGGGAGAAGGATCCAAGGAGCCAACGTGTTTGGAGGTACTTGGTGCCACTGAAATGCCATGTCGATCGAGTCGACGTGGCCAACCCAGACGGCTGCAATCGCTGGAGACAGCTTGGCATCTGTTAAGGATCGTCCCAGCTTGTGGTTGAGGGAATTCATCACGCAAGGCGCGATGCACGACGCTTGGAACCCCCCGAGGTCGTCGTGGGTGTCTGTGGAGGATTGGCCACGCAACGCTGACGTGAGCGTGTATTCATGAGCCATCGATTCTGCATCGCTCTTTGCTTGTTGTACGATGGATACGATGGTGGCGCGGTGCTGCTGGAGGCATTCGTGAAGGATGTAGCTGCCCACCTGAAGGAAGTGAGGTTACGTCGCGAATGTCGATTGGTCGTACCAACTTCACGGCGGCAAGGTTCTCGGACGTCGTGCTCACCAAACAGCACAACACGGGGATCAAAGGAGAACTTACCACCACGATATGGTACGTATCGAGTTGCAGAAGCGACATGCTCTGGCTACGGGCCAAAATTGGCATGGGCTGTTGGAGCCAGGGACGTACCCGTGTGAGAATTGCTGTAATGTGGCCACGAGGGAGCCCAAATGCGAGGCGCTAATGGACGTGTCCTGCGCGGCGTAGTTGAGAAGCACGTGGCCTGTGTCTGTTGTTAGGACACACATCGCGACGTCCATGTCAGGAACGCAATCTTGAATGGGCACACCGAAATGGAGAGATCCTATTGGTCCATGTCAGGAACGCAATCTTGAATGGGCACACCGAAATGGAGAGATCCTATTGGCTAGATTCCCAATGGATTTTTCAACAAATCATACACGAGCATTTTGTCTGGCAGCATTTTCTTGCACCAAGTCAACATGCACCGGCGGTTGGGAGCTCTCCAAAAGCTCAAAGCTCTCGTCGACACGGGTGCATTGAGCCCGAAGGACGCAACTCACCGCGCAATTCAGATGCTGGAAAGCACGCCGCAACCAGTCCGACTGCAGGAGCCCCGATTGGCCAAAATATCCAACGAACTCTTAGCCTTGACGCTCAATGGGTCCGACAGGGCTTCTGCCTCAACCACAACCATCCAAGGGCGATTGAATCGTCTGATCCAAGAAGACATGCGCATGGAGGATCAGTTCAAAGTTTCAGATACGGTGCATCTACCTCAAACTGTCGAAGCCTCCACGACTGCGCAACTCCGGTTAATCAAAAAGCTCGACCATCTCAAAGGATCCATCGACGATGGAAGTCTCCAGCCATTGGATGCCGCGCGCCGCGCCATGCAGATTGCGCGAAGTGCGCCTAACGACACCGTCCTCGACCATCTAGCATCGAAGCACCTCCATGACATCCTACACCTCGTCGACGACACACGCATCCGTGACTCCATGCACCAGCAACTCGAGGCTCTGCAGTTGATCCCATCTTCGTCCCCTCCATCCGCTTCCAGCGCCCCTCCGTCAACTCCTTCTTCCTCGCTCCCCACGCCCGCCATATTGGGCGACACGGTCCACTTTGCCAAGCTGTACACTGCCTTCGACCTCGGCCACCATCGGCAAGCGTTCGACCTGCTGGCGCAGATCACGCCGGCCATGTGGAAACGGACTCCCCACGCCAACCGCCACCAAGTCATCAAAGTCTCATCGATGGCCATCACGTCCATGGCACATGACGATGATCATCCGGTCGCGGCCCAGCACTTTTTGCAGTTTGTCCAGTCCGTGTTTCGGGCCAAGGGGCTGCCGTTGAACTGGATCAACCAGCCCACGGCCATCGCCGCCGTCGCCGCGGCCTCCGTACAAGTCCACGACTCCGCCACGCTCCTCCTGCTCTACAAGTCGCAGGTCCGCGACGCCAAGCGTGCGAAAGGGTATTTTGCCCAACGAGCCACCACCAAATCGATCAAATCGACCAGCAATAATGCGCACAAGACGATCCTTCCCCCGTCGACGGCGCTCTTCACAGCCGTCGTCGACACCCTTGGCGCTCTCCACCGCCAAACCGCACTCCCCGAGATCATCCGGGCGTTTCCAGGTCCCGTCGGCCACGGCGGACTCCTGGCGCTGCTGCGCGTGCTCACCCTTCCGTCGTCGGCCCCCCACGTGGTCCAGCTGGCCGCGTCCTTCCCCCTCCAGTCGTTCGTGGACAGCCAGTTCCAAGCGCCGCTGCTGCGCGCCATGCTCAAAGTGGACTTGGTCGTTCAAGCGTACGACGCGCTGCTGCACATGCACACACTGGGCCAGTCATCCGTCGCCAAGCAGATCCCCTCCAGCGTCCAGACTGACATTCTGGTTGAGTTGTACAAACTCAAGGCGTTCGACCGCTTCCACACCGCCTACGACGAGCTGTGGACGCGGGGGTACCAGGTGGGTCTCCTGGAATTCCGCGCCCTGAGCAACGTCGTGCCCCCTGCCGTGCTGCAGACGATGCTCGGCCGGAAAGAGTACCGCCAATGCCTCCAAGAAGCCCAGCGTCGGGCCAGTCGCCAGGCCCAGCGGTCCCACGAAATGGAACTCGCCGCGGGTCTCGACCTCCGCGCCGCGCCAGACTCCATGTGTGCCGAGATGCTCAACCTCCACCTTAAGGCCCTATCCCGTCCAGAAGACGTGATTCTGTTCGTCTCGGCGGCCAACCAGGCCGTGGTCGAAGCCGCATTGGTAGCGGATGGCTTGTCCTTCGTGGCGCGGCACCACCACCAGCTCGTCGTGCCCGCGCAGTCCGTCGACCAGGTGAATCAAATGTGTGCACATGTCGAGCTCTTCTTGACCATTTATTTTCGTCTAGTTTATGCAGCGAAACGAACGGCAACGCACGCGAGACTTCGTGCTCAAGTTTTTGACATTACGAGGGTTGGCAGTCTACTCGATCGTGGTCGGTGGGGTGGCCATCGCAACCACCACGACGTAGTTTCACGGGTGGTTAGAACTCGACGCCTTCGATGTACTTGAGCGTGTTGCGGTAGTGCGTCTCGACGTCGGCCCTTGCCTGGCCTGGCTCCATCGTCTCCAAATGCTCTTTCACCAACGCAATCAGCCCCACCACGTACTGCTTGGTCACCTACCATCACCCCCCCATGTCACACACCATGTCACACACTATCCAGCCACCACTGACCTCGGGGGTGCGGCCGATAAAGTAATACAGATACTACGCACACACATGTGTGTGTTAGTTATTCACCATCTCTTTTTCATCGTGGGAGGAGGCTACCTCGTCCAAGATATCGACAAACAATCCGACTTGCGCCGCCGCTCCGATGCCGCTGGCGTCGGCGATTTTCAACGCTCGCTGCAAGCACTCGAGCACCCGCACGCCATTTCCACTGGCACTTCCCTATCTCCTTCGTATGAGGGACATATATATCTCTCTCATATCAGTCAGACCTCGGCCTTTCTCCAAAACAGGTGCGCGCACGTAGCCACCATGCCGCTTTGCTCCTTTTTCTTGACCAGTTTGGCCACGTACTGCGTGAGCTTGGTTGCGAGCGTGTCGTAGTTGGCCTGCCGGATGTCTCGGACCTGGCTCAGCGCGCCCAGGAGCAGTTCCAGCGCCGCCACCTGCTGGCTCGACTGGCTCAGCTGATCTTCGTACACGACGAACGCCTGCGTGAAAAACTCGTACGCGATCGCGTCGAGGCGGCACTGGTCCGCGGCCAGCGCACACTGCACGAACAAGTTGACCGACAAGGTCGACTCGACGGTCCCCTCCACTTTGGACGCCAGCGCCGTCGCCATCTCGTGCACAAACTGCAAGATCGCTCGGGTACTCACGCCGGACGCCCCACTTCCGTCACTCTATCGTCAAACGTACAAATATTATCGACGATGATTCGGAATCGGTACGTGCCTCGGCTTGAAACACGCGGCGGGCCAGCTGCAACGACAACAGCACCAGCGGCACCAATGTGAATCGGATGCGCTCGAGGCCGCCTTGGCCCAGCAGCCGCCTCGCGTGGCTGTACATCTACGTATACCCCCGTGAAGTGGCTTTCTCAACGCTATTTACGTCCGCAACCTCAAATTGCGTCGACGGAGTGGGATGCACCAGCAGGTGGGTCAATTTCGCCAGCGCGTGCTGTTCACGCTCGACCGTTGCCTACGTATCGAGATCATCGTCAATCAATCAAAAATCCCATATCCATCTATCCATCCACAGCAGATGTACCCGCGACGGAGCAGACAAGTCTGCCGGATTCACTTCGTCGCGGATGAGCGGAAGCAGCAGCGTAAACACTTTTTCCGCGGTCGCAGGCTCGGTGATGGACACTCGGCGCTTGATCACACTCGTGCAAAAGCGGTACGCGGCCCGTTTGCGGTTGGGCACAGGCAGCCATTGCAACGTTGTGACCACACTCGCTTCCAGCGCCGGATCTTCCAAGGCGGCGACGCCCAGCGCCTCGAGCGGCACGAGCGCCAGACGTTCACCTGCCTCCACGACCGCGTCCGAACGCCTACCCCAACTCTCACCCAACGAGAAAGAGAGAGACATGGACGTACATCTTGACGCGCACGAGAAACGCCGTGGCGGACACGGCGGTCCGGGACATGGACGGCAGGGGGTTGTGGAAGCAAGCCAGCACAAACTCGAGCACGCCCACGTACAAACGCAGCAGCGACGCGCTCGATACTTCAGTCTCACGCTGCGCAACGGCATTCTCGGTGCACCCCATAAGTGTGTCATACAGTTGCGCTTGCGGCGGAAACACTAGCAAAACACAACAGACGATTCAACGGCACTTTGCACACAATAGAGAGAGTGGCTGCACTTTACAAGTAAGTCCCTACCGTGGTTGGGGGTTGCGTGGTGGTACTTGGCGAGCCGCGTCAGCAGCGCCACGACGGGCTCGCTGATGTCCACTTGCGGGTGCAAGTTGGCCATGGCGTCCAAGAACAACTGGATCGAATCTAGGTGGAACTCGTCCGGGAACACCTACACACCGGTAGATGGCAACGTGTAGATCGCTGTGGCGCGAGAGGCGTACCTGGATGAGGCAATCGGTCAGGTATTCCTGGGCGATTTTGTCCCTGGCTTTGACGACAATGGCGAGGATCTTGGGCAACAACGTGGTCGTGTACAGGGACGTGGTAACGTCGTCGCGCTGACTCAGCCGCACGAGACTCGTGCCCACGAGGGTCTTGAGCTCCTGGCGCTCCTTCTCGCGCTGCTTCTTGTCCTTGATGTTGGACTGGTGCTGCATGCGAATCCACAGTTGGATTGTTTCGTCCCAGTTTTGCAGCAGGAACGACACGGCGTCCGCGATGTCCACGCCGCCCAGGTGCTCCTTCACCGACACGACCAAGTAATGGCGGAGGAACAGACCTCGCTGGGCATGCTGCACACCTTTGACCATCTCGACCAAGTCGTTTAGAATGTCCTTTGTTACCGAGGCATCGTGTCGCATGAACACTGTGCCCACCGTGACCAGCAAGTACAGGCGAGGGACGATGTTACCGCTCTGTTGCACTTGTTCATACAACGTGCGCAGGTTCACGGACGAACGCAGCGTGTCCACGTACCCCGACAGTTCGCGCAGCTCGTCCACTACTAGCATGTACAGCTCGTAATAGTTCTTTGGGGACAGAAGCGATGTGCGCAATTCGCGGAGAAAGTCCGCGGCATGTTTGAGGACGACTGCGATGTCCGCTTCAGTGGTTCCAGCGTCCATAGCTCGCTTCATGTAGAAGGAACTTTGACGGACACTCGTGGACGCTTCCGAGAGCAGCGCTTCTTGCTCCTCGTCGCGATGCATGATGATTGTTTGTGTGTGCTTGATGATAGTGATATCCTCGACAAATATCCAAACGAGGTAAACCGGATAATCATATCCGGATAACCACAATAATTGACTTGTTAATGCAAGGTCAGCCACCTTGCTCCTTTTTAATATCCAATCAGAATCCATCACAGTTTCTTACACACGATTGGCAGACGTTATGGTGCACGTCACCTATAAACTACCAACTTTTCACAAAAATTTCTGACTTCTATTTCATATTCATTACTCAAAATTTAAGCAAATTGAGACGTAGAATCGACAGATCTCAATGTGGTGAAGAAATTCTACGTCTCAGATTCAAATTTGGTAATGAATTGGTCCAGAAATAGATATTTAACCTAGCGGTATTTTACATAGGCGCTTGGATATTTGGCCATATTTGGCCATAGGGGTGGCCGCTGAGATGTATCTTGCTTTTTATATGTGACTCTTATCCGTATATAATATCCGGAGGTAGTTGGGACCTTTAACCTCCCATTGCAGTGATAAAACGCATGAAATCGGAATTTAACGTATTTACGTTTTGGGTTTAACTACATTAATTGTACGTTAAATAATAAAACCTCCACTCTTCGATTTGGCCAGTTGGATGTTTTTAGATGACGTGCACCATACAATTTTGAACTTTGAATTTTGTAGTTTTGTGTGATGCTGTTCCAGAGAATTGTGCACTGATGAGTGAACTCCGACTATGCCCAATGTGGTTCTCCCCTTACAGCTAACATTATGTTGTGCGCTCGGTTGGGTCGCAATGTCGTGGTGGCTCTGGTTGGCCAACGCGGTGGCGCAAGAGGTCTAGGTAGCACCCATCGCAAACGCAAAGTGCTAAAGCCGCCACTTCAGCACTTGCGATGGGTGCCACCAAGACGTCTTGCGCCACCGCCCGCGCAACCACGTGATCACACCGGCATGGAGGTGTACGGCACCGACACGGGCTGGATGGTGGAATGTGGGATGACCAATTTCATTGGGTTAGTAGGCAAGTGGTGAAATGAGACCTGTTCGACCGAGTCCTGAATACCACATCACATGATCTTGCTATCATATACAGCCTACAATTATCTCAAGGCTCCTTGCATCAATCGCCATCACAAGAGTAGAATATATCGCAACAGGGCGTGATGAATCTACGAGCAATTTCGTGATTTCACGGCATCTGATTGGACAATTTTGAATTCGCAAGGTGACCTGCCTTGCGAATTCCAAAAAGAGACAGACACATGAAAAATAAAAACAATCAATAACGTTACAACAAACTTGAAGATATATTTAATTGAAATCATACAATTTCAGAATTATTTATGGAATTCCCAAGGTGGTTCACCTTGCGCTTCATACAAAATTGCCTATTTCACCTTGCTTTTTCTGGTTAATGAAAAACGATTTTTATTAAGAACTGGTGGAGAGTGTTGATCAGTCGCGAGCTGCCGCGGTCAACTTGCCTTCCAGCCGCGCTTTCTCCATGAGGTACGCCTCCTCCAAGGCGGCGCGATCGGCGTTGTACCTGGCCTCCAGCTGCAGCAGGTCTTGGGTTATGGATTGCACCTACAATCCCACCGAATGGTATCATCATACACCGACAATGACCAAACATACGTCGCCGGTGGCTGAACTAGGTCGGATTGTGCTGTCTTTGGACAAGATCAAGTTCCCTTCTGCGTTTGCCGACAAGTCGCTCCCCATTCGAAAGTACTTCATGAACGACGGTTCACTGCTCTTCTTGGACAACTCCTTCACTGCCTCGGCCGATTGCACGACTATGGACCCTAGAATCCCATGAGAAACCATAGCATGGGCTGTGTCGTCGTCACCTCGATTCACGACGGTGCCGTACAACTCGGTCGTGTCCCTCGATCCCGGCTTGAGTCCCTTGCCCGTGTTTCCTCGAAAGACCATTGTCCCATACCCAGCGTCGTCACGCCTCTCGGCGTCTATCGGATTCACATTCACCATCGTGCCGCTACAACTACTACTAGTGTCATCCACGCCATGGATTTGCACATCGTTCATGTCCACAGGTCCTTCGCGGTCTTGGCTCAGCGCATCCAAGTTTCGATCGACCAATTCTTGCAGCGCAGGCAGCCCCCCTGGCAACACATGCTCGAGCTTGTCCACGTCTTTCTTGACAAACGGATGCTACATACATGTCAATGACCACACTATTTAGCGGAATCGTACGGCCAGGAGCGCTTCGGCACTTGGTCGTTGGGTCGCATCCTTTTTCAAACACATGGCGAGAAAGTCGGCAAATTGCGGCGAAAACCGCGACGGGTCACCCAGCGTCGGCGGCGGTCGGCTTGGAATCATGAAAATGGCCTGGATTTCGATGATGAGATGGAGCTGCATAATACTGTGTGATGTCTAAGTAGACGTACTCGCATGGGGTGCATGTTGCTCAGCGGGGGGTCGCCTTCGGCCATTTCAATGGCGGTGATGCCCAGCGACCAAATGTCCGCCTTCGACATCATATGAGTCCCTTGGATCGAAAGAGGGGGAGGAGGATGTGCCGACCTTGCCATCATATTGGGTTTCCTGGATCACTTCTGGTGCCATCCAGAACGGCGTGCCAATGACCGTCTTGCGTTTGTTGATTGTGTTGGTGAGTTGCGCAGACACACCAAAGTCCGCTGCACAAGCACATGAGCATATACATGGACGAGGACGAGGCACCCACCGAGCTTGGCCAAGCCCGACGAAGACAAGAGCACGTTGCCTGCCTTGATGTCCTGCGGGCAACACGTCACGTCGCTACATGATACGGAAGTCGTACTCGATGGATGTTCTTTTGCTCGTGGAGGTACGCGAGGCCCTTGACAATGTTGGCACACACGCCAGCCACTTCTTTCTCGGTCAGGCACGTCTGAGACACCCGCATCATGTCGGCGACCGAACCTGCTTCGCAAAACTCCATTTCGATCTGCCCATAAACGCAAGTCAGAGTTGACAGCAATGGCAATATCGCTTGTTTACCCATAGGTTGTTCTCGTAGAGGATGCTGCCGTAGTACTGAACAATGAACGGCGAACTGCATTTTTCCAAAATGCGGATTTCCTTGGTCAACTCCATCATCTCTTTGTCGTCGGTTTCAATCGGCACAACCTTGAGCGCCACCACGCGGGCAGTGAGCCGATTCAGGGCCTTGTACACTTTGCCGTATGAACCTTCGCCCAGTTGTTGCAGCACTTCAAACTCATCCTGCGGCACCTTGGTCTGTGAGATCGAGTCGCTCATCGTTCGGGGGCGAGCTATTTTCGGCTTGGAATGGTGCTGTCGTTTCGAATGATTTGGGAAGTTGAATGTACGGATAAACTAGACCGGATATTGTGACTGCCAAAGATCGCACCTCCAAGCACCCTTGCGTTTGCTTTTAGTTGGCCCAGGCGGGCGATAGTCCAGCATTCAATCCTTGTGCAACCAACCTAGTTACTATGGGCGCAGGGGATGTCTACGTAGGTTGTCAATTTCGAAATGGCAGCTCATAGTACATGTACCGAACACACAAGAAACTCGGTAACTTAACTTAGCTTCCCCGTACTTTGGGGCACAGTGCTCGTGGAACCTCTCATGTGAGATTCTGCAGCGCTGGCCATGCTTTAGCTGTTGTTGCTTATTAGTGTCGGTGTTTGCGCCTTTAGCTGACGGGGAGATAAGTGATGTTAACGTTAGTTTAACGGAGGCGGTTTCGCGATGAAGTGCCTTCGAACGAGCCTTGGCTATAACGATGCTACATTCTGTTGAAGGACTCTTCAGTCTTACAGTATTATACCTCGTGACAATATGTCATTGCATCCCTTGGTGACCCCCGATCGACTAGGCGTCGAGTAAGTTATTCTGTCATAAAATACCAACAATTTGATTGGAATACAAACAAGAAGATAATGGCTTCAAATTTAAATGCACTTTAAACTGTGTCATTCCCAGTCGTCTTTCTCAGCCGGTGATTGGCCCATGTCCTGACGTCATAGTTGCCCCAAACCACGGAGCACTCATTTTCCCTCACTTACGACGGTCATGTTGCGACTCGTGAAGCCATCCATCCATGTGGCCAACCGCGCCCGATGGGCCTTGGTGAAGCGAGCTCCTTTTTCTAGTCTCCCTGAAGGAGTCACCAGACTCGTCATGCCGGCACTCTCGCCCACGATGGAGTCTGGTACGATTGCTGCATGGCTCAAAAAGGAGGGTGAGGTTGCGTCTGCGGGTGACGTACTGTGTCAAGTCGAAACGGACAAGGCCGTTGTCGACTACGAAATGCAAGATGATGCAGTGCTGGCCAAGATCCTTGTCCAGCCAGGCACCGCTGTGGATGTGGGCACGCTCTTGGCTTTCACAGTCGACGACGAAGAGACCTACCAGGCCCTCGTTTCGTCTGGCGACCTCAACAAGTTGACCACCGACGCCATCGTCGCGCCTTCCGCTCCTACCACTGAAGCAGCAGCTCCAGTAACTGCCGCTCCGGCCGCGGACCATGCCGACACCCACCGTGTGCCGCGCATCCATTTCCTTGGCAAGCGGTCGTTGTTGCCTGCCGACCACCACGCGGTCGCAGTTAAGGCAGCCCCTGCTCAAGCACCTGCCGCTGCTGCGCCAGTGGCCAAGTCGGCTCCCGTTGCGCCGGCAGTTGCGTCAGATGGCGATTTCACGGACTTGCCGCTTTCCAACATGCGCAAGATCATCGCGAAACGCCTGACGGCGTCCAAGGTCACAGTGCCCCACGCGTATGCGTCCATCGACTGCGAGATCGACGCCATCATGACCCTTCGCGCGCGTCTGAAGAAGCAGCACGGCGTCGCAGTGTCCTTGAACGACTTCTTGCTTAAGGCGGTCGCGTCGGCGCTGCGTGACGTACCGGAAGCCAACTGCGGATGGGACGCCGCGACCCACTCGATCGTCCCGAATGCGTCCGTGGACATCTCCGTCGCAGTCGCCACCGACAGCGGTCTCATCACGCCCATCGTGCCCAAAGTGCAAGCGCTCGGTCTGACCTCGATCAACTCGACGTTCAAGGAGCTCGTGGCCCGCGCCCGGGCCAACAAGCTCAAACCCGAGGAATTCCAAGGCGGGAGCTTCACCGTGTCCAACTTGGGCGGGTTCGGCGTGGACAACTTCACCGCTGTGATCAACCCACCGCAAGCATGCATCATGGCCGTCGGCCGTGGCCGCGCCGAGTTGGTCGTGCCCACCGACGAGACTCTGCCGCCACGCAAGGTCACGCTGCTGAATGTGACCATCTCGTCCGACCGACGTGTCGTCGATGACGTCATCGCCGGCCAGTTCCTGCAAGCGTTCAAGAAGTACATGGAAGAGCCCGACTTGATGCTGCTGTAATACCGCCTTGTCCATAAAATCTGAGTTTCAAAATAGTGCTGAATATTGCAAAGCTACGTTCAAAATAGACCATTATTTTGTTCATTCGAACATAGAAGTATATTTTGGGCGCTTTTTCGAAAAGTTTGGATTTCGGCGGTTTCTCGCGCGACCACATGACGGACAACTTGGCGTGGCGCCTAGTGACGGCCAAGGACATCGATGCGCTTGCGGCGATCCACGACTCGATTGCATGCCGCCAAATCTTGTACGACATCTTTGCTTTCCATGGATTGGCGTCCTCGACGTCCGCGCCATTGGACTTGCTCCTCGACCTTTACATGTACCTGTACTCGTTCTGCAAAGAACACGAATTGACGCCGCTCAAGACGTCGGTGGTGCTGGCGATCATGCATCGAGTCATCCTACGCGACTTATTCCTTCAGTCGCATGACCATGGGAAGCAGTCGCCTTGGACGCTTCCAGAGAGCTTTGAGCACTTTCAGTCGCTCCTACTGCAACATAGCGTTGAGCGGCCGCCCGTGAGCACAGGCATTTTCGACGCGGTCGATGTGGCGACCACGGTGGAATATGTGACGCACAGCTACTACCGCCAATACCACCTTTACCAAACCATATTCATTCCTCAAACGCATGTGTCCATTGTGCAGGTCTGGTATTTCGTCACGTTGGTCCACTAACGAATGCTTAGATTGCGTGCATGGACATATCCAAGCCTAGGCCAATGCCACCCCTTCAGCACGCCATCATGCTTCGTTCGAAGGAGCCACCACCACCTCCCTCGGATTCCGAAGAACACATCGCCGTTGTCGAGTCATAGGAGATACCATGATACAAAATGCAAAACTCCATTAAACAAACAACGGAGAGAATTTGCCGTGCGTCAACTGCACAAGCTTGTCGTAGTTCGTCAAGTCTATCGTCACATGTCAATTGAGCAATCGTGTGGATGGATGCATGTGATGATGATGTACTACCAAAATCATCGCCGAAACTTGTGCACTTGAATTCCTTGAGAGTTCCGTCCGATTGGACTGCACCAATCACTTCGACAAATTTGCTGAACACGATTGCATAATGTTAACCCCGTAACAGAAGCATGCCGCGCACCGTACCTCGAATAATCGGCACCAGGCTGGGGATGTACTGTGACAAAGCCATTGTCGGAGGTCTTGAGCACGGCCTGCGATCCTGTCCAGCTTTCAATGCTCCCAACCAAGGACACGGTGTGTCCCACGAATTGCGCCATGATGGCCTTGTTCACGCGCGGGGCAGGGGCGGTCTCACTCATGTCTCCAACTCGTTTTGGTATGGAGGGAAATGCAACCCAGGCTACAAATCATTATCCGGATTTCCGGATACACACAAAAACGCGGGAACAAATCATTATCCGGAATTCCGGATACACAAAATAACGCGGGAAATCTTTTCATTATTTTGGAATTATACTCGAACTTGGAAGAAACCCAGGTATTAATACATGCATGATCTACGACTCGATCGTCATAACGTCCTACACCATCACGACGTGAGATGAACTCGAGATCCAAAGAGATGCAAGGAGATGAAAGGACGGACGTACCGCGCCACCAACGTCGAACTGCGCAATGTCGGCGTTGGTAAAGTCTTGCTTGAGCGTGATGTCTTGCTCCGACTTGGTGAGTTTGATCTTGCACTGGAGGAGTTTCAACAGCTGATCGAACAAGCCTCGTTGGACGACGTAGTCGCCGAGGTTCGTCTTGAGCGTCTTTTGCTGCTTGCGCAGTTCCTTGGTGAGGGACTCTTGCTGGTTGACTTTGTTCTTGTACAGTTCTTGGAACGTGCGAAAGTCGCGCAGGAGTTTGCCGTTGCCTTTTTCAAACTCTTCCTCTTGAGTGACCTTGTCGAGCTTGGCGATTTCGATTTCGATTTGGCAGTTGAGATGGTGGAATTGGCTCTCTTCGCGCAAACAGTCGTCTTGGAATGCCGCGCACTCTTGCTCGAGCTTGATGCGCTCGGTTTCGAGCCCCACAGCCGTGTTGTCGTACTGAGCTTTCTTTTCCAAGTACGTTTGCTCCATCTCTTGGTACTTTTGGCGCACGGCGCGCAAGTCCTTGATCTGCGGTGCGAGTTGGTTCTTGCGTTCTTTCAACGTTTGGTTGATGTCCGTGACAATACGCGAGATCTCTTCGAGCGTTTCGCCCTTGAACGCGTTCACTTGGGCGTTGCGCTCGGATATTTCGTTCAGCTTGCCTTGCGTGTCCATGTACCCCATGACGCCCTTGGTGGCTTCGATCTCCTTGAGCAGCCCGTCCAAGTCCGAGTCGCGAGACTTGAGCACTTGCTCCGTGCGATGCAGCACGACGCTTTCGGCGGTGATTTCCGCCAGCTCGGCCTTCATCTTCTTGTACTGGTTGGTTTTGTTGCGCAGCGTGTTGGCGTACTGCTTGAACTCTTCTCGCTTCATAAACTTGGGGCCGGACACCTCGGCCATCTTGGCTTCCTGCTCTTCCAACTGCCGCTGGAGCGTTTGTTTCTCGTGCTTTGCGGCCGCCAACTCGTCCAGCTTGTCGTTCAGTTTCTTCGTTTGAAGGTTGGCATGTTGTCGAAAGATGGCCAGTTTGTCGTCTCCAGCCGCGCGTTGGGCGTCGTTCAATTGCTCCGTGAGGTTCTACCTCCACGATCAATCACAGTGTCTCAGGTGAATGGGATACGTTACCTGGATGGACGACTTGAGGTTCTGAATCTCGTCCTCCATGTCGGCAATGTCCCCTTCCGTCTTGGCGGGTTCGTTCAGCGCCGCCTCAAGGTGCTGCAGCTTCTCCTGCTGGATGCGGAACTCTGCGGGGAACTTGTTGACGAGAATGTCGCGATGGCGGTCCACTTGCGACTGCAGTTGGTCAAACAGCTGGTCCGGCTGCATGTCGGTGTTGATGGCCGCGCGCATTTCGCTCACGCGATGCTCGTACTCGCGGCTCCGCTTCTCGGCCATATTGAGGCCCATCATCTGGTCCCGCTTCCGTTCGGACAGCTTGGCTTGCTCCTCTTGCTCCTTGCGCAGGGAGCTCGTGGCTTCCAAGATGTCTTTGAAGCCAGTCTAACGATACTCGCAATCATTCATTCACGTGCATGAAGGAGGGGTCTTGGCGGTAGATGGTAGGTGGGGGGGTACCTCGCTAGCGGTCTTCTTCTTCAAATGCGCGATCTTTTCGCTGAGTTGGTGCGACTCTTCCTCGAGCTGCGTGATCTCCTTGCGCAGCTCGCCCGGACGGATCTTGCTCGTGCGCAGCTGCTCCACTTGTTTGTGGACCCCTTTGAATTCGTTTTGCAGCGCCTTGTAGTGTTCGTGCATCGTGTTCAACGCTACGCAGCAGCAGGTCAAAGCATGATCATAACGGTAACGGTGCCGTACAGTCATTCCCGAGAAATTCTTGGGGGACTTGCAATGGAGCGAGGAATCGACCCAAGTATGCTCGTTTCTTGTGCACATTGAAGTTTTTCAGGGCCCAGTATAGAATCGGGTACACGACGTAGCGCTCGCCATGACTCAGCCCTTCTCGGAACGAATCTATGTCGGGGGGTAGCTGGTACTTGAGCAACTGCAACGTCTCCATGTAGCGGTACGTGCGTTGCTCGTCCAGTTCGTCACGAATATCGATTTTATGCCGCGAATCCATCTCGGCAAACACTTCATTGAGCACTTGGAGGAGTTCAAAGTTGGACTTTTCATCAAATGCCACCTAGGAAGCCGCGATGGGTAACAACAGTATGCAACGTGACCGACTTGGCTTGAGGGAGTAAGATGTGACAAGGGTAGTTGTGGTTACCAGTGTGAAGTTGTGGTTGAACGGATCCTTGTTGAGCTTCTCAACGATGGCCTGCACTTCACTCATGATGGTGCCGCTTTCTCGTGACCTTTGGCGCGAGTGGAACCTAAGCGCGATCTTTCAAATTATTCATTTTCAGAGGTACCACCACTTTCAATCATCATGTCAAGGGAAGTTAACAAGTACTACGTAGTAACTACGTAGTAAAAGGCAACCCCCCCTCCTAATCCCCCTTCAAGAAGCTAGCTGCTAGACTTCCTTCTGTACGCACGCCACAAACCAAAGCTCTGTCATGTCAGTTGCAGAGTCACCCCCTCGACCCGTCTCAAGTGTCGAAGGTTTCCAAACTAAGTTAAGTTACCGGTATTCTTGATCGCTACAAGTACGACCGGAGATGTGCACAGTGCACTACTCCGGAGTACTACGTAGTACAGTACAGTAGTAGTACAGTATGTGCTAAGAATGTTGGTACTGTACGAAACTTTTGAATTTCGACAGCAAGATTAAAAGACACATCCCACAGGCGATGGAGCGGCCACCTAGAGCGCATTATCCCACTTTCGATGCCACTCACCTCGGAGTGATCAACTGTTCTTTTGGCGCTGACCACACAGCATCCTCCTACTTTTGCGAACATGTACAGTAGTACTACTAGTATTAATAGTATTAACATTTGTAAATAACATTCGGGACGATTCGGCGCTGAGACGTCTGTTGGCCTTGATAGCTCGGAGGATAATCCGGTCCTCGTGCTCGGTTGTCACCTTGGGGCGCCCAGATCGCGGTTGTGGGACCGTTTCCTTGGTCTTCTTGAACGCTTTGACAATGCTCTGCACGGTGGCTTTCGAAAGGTTCCAAGTTGTTAACTTACGAACAAGCCAAACCTACGAAATCATCGAATCATCTATCCAATCAAATGGTGTTGTGCTGCTAATTTTAAGCCAATCAAATTACTTGCTTGGAATGTCAAGGAATCGTCCTGCGACCTTTCGTATCGCAAGACGATGGATCGTTTCTATCTTTCCATCGTCGCCGTCCTCTCTCGTGAATGTCATTTTGCGTGGTATCTTCATCCCCACTTTCACATTTGCTTGCTTCCATGTGGCCATCGATCTCAGTCGTTCAACTTTGCCTCACGGGCCTTGCGGATCTGTCCATGCTGCCAGCCATCGACGTGATCCAGAAGAACCGCCGCCATTTCGAGCTGTACGTGGCGTTGCTGCATATCGCAGTGTCGCTCGCCCACAACATCAGCCAATCCTTCGACATCCCTCTCTTTCTGTCTGTCGACGACTGGCACAACATGTCCGACGTGCTGTGGATCGCGTACTTTTTACTCCTCTGCATCCATGTGCTTGGCCTCAAGGACATCCAGCACACCATGATCCTGCGGTACGTGGCGTTCTCCTGCGCGTGGATGGCCAAGACCAAAGACACGTGGACCACCAACACGTACTCGACCGCGCTCGTGAGTGTGGCCATCACGTTGGTTGTCGTCACTCGGCTGGCGCTCCGCAAGTCGCTGCTGCCCATCCAGTTGACCGAGGCGGGGTACGCAGTGGCCGCCGGCGCCGTTGCGATGGTCCTGTTCTTGTCCCCGCGCATCGTGCACATGGGAGAAGTTCCGTTTTTCACGGTCGTCGTGCCGACGTTCCATCTCGCGTTGGGCACCATGTTCTATTTCGGCTGGAAGTGCGTCGCCGCCCCCGCCAAGCTTTGGGACGATAGTTTGACCGCGCATTTTATTTGATGAATCAACCGCATGTACGAACCCTTGTGTTGTACATACATTCCAGGTGCACAGTGCCCTTGTATTACATGCATTCCAGGTGTAGTCGTGCTTTGAAATCAACACCAGGATTCGCTGAATAGATACTATAATGCAAAGGAGATTCGCCGAATAAATATAATGTCATGTTTTTAACCTGTGCTGATAAATACTTCGAAGTACTTCGAAGTACAACATATATATATATGCCTAGTGCACACCGACGAGCTGGGTGGTGGATTCGGCAACAACAGTCGCTTCGACGTCGACTTTGGTCAAGTTGGCGTTGGTGTCTTGCAGCAGCTGGACTGCAGCCACGTCCACGTTGGGACACCAGAGCATGACCAGTTGCTCCAACGACTTCAAGTCGGCCAACGCATTCAGGTCCGATGCCAATTGCGTGCACCCTGTGAGGTCCAGCGTCGTCAAGCCCCTCGGCATCGCGTCAAGCACGTCGCGAGTGAGGTTCGAGTGGCCTTTCAGATACAGTGCTTTGAGACTCGGGGACGACCGCAGCACTGGCACGAGCCCATCGTTGGACAAAGGGGAGCGGGACCCAAACGGATTGCTGCAGGACAGGTCCAAGCACTCCAGGGCCAAGGACGTGGTGAAGGAGTTGAACGCCGACGCGAGATGCAAGTCGGTGTCTTTTGCAAAGCGACCACTGCCGCCTAACGTGAGGGTGTGCAGCTGGGGACAGTTGGATGCGACACTGGTGAGTACAGCTACAGGGTTGATGTGGGGGCATCCCTTGAGGTTTAGCACAGTGAGCTGGGGGGCGTTGACGACCAAACCAATCATGTCATTGGTGGTCAATTGTCGGCAACGATTGAACGACAATACTCGAAGCCGCGGTGCACATTTGGCTAAGGACAAGGTAGTGGCAATATACGCGCAGTTGTCGGCGTGGACTTGGACAAGTGAATCGGCATTCGAGTCAACAAATGACACCAACGCTACGTCTGTGAAGTGCTTGCTGCCTGCAACGTTTAGAACTTGGAGGAGTTGTGTGTGACAAGCAAAGTGGATCCATACTTCTTCCGATGCAGTGGACTTCATGCATGTCAAGGTTTGAATGTGTTTGGCAAACGGGACCAACTGTCGTAGCGAGGACGAGGTGGCGTTAGCCAAGTCGAGGTGCCTCCAGAAGTCGATGGACGCGGCATGTAGTCCCGCGCGAAGTGTCTTTGATGCGCATGCCAGGGAGATGACCTCATCTAGAGACAGGAATGCCAGCACAGCATTAAGCATCTCGTCCTGCATGGCGGCTAGAGGAAGCGGCGTCGTCATGGCCTGCATTTGACGTGAAAGTTGGTCAATGGCTCGATGTCAAAGCTTCACCGTTGTGTCATGGAAAGGTGAGACGTTTTTCGGATAAGCAATCTCGGGTGGAATTGAAATATTGGTGAGATTTAAATGACAAATCCATACCTTTCAGGTATTTAAATCCCCGAATCTTGAATAAAAATGACAGAAGAGTTTTCCGGACTTGATGAGCTAATCACTGTTGAGAATGACTCATTGCAATTCATCATTGTGATTGGCTATACAAACTATCCAATCAAACAGATGGATTGGATCGACACACAGTGATCCACTCTGGCCAATCACGAGCGACTCCAACGACTTTCATCTAGGAAATTCTAGTAATACTATTAGTACTTGTAAATGCCATGGAACATAGTATTACTATTAATAGTATGTAGTAGTACTACATATTAATAGTACATACTACTACTTTGGTAGTAGTACTAGCTAGTATTGTGAGCAAAGCATCACATCAGGGATGCTTCTTACAATCATGTTTGCTTGTCGCGTAACAAGCTTGTGCTCAATGCGACCTCAGAGGTAACATGGACTAAATGAGGGCCAGGGCGATACACTTTTGCAGGTCACAATGCATCAAACAACGTAGGTATCGTTGGGGAGAATGGTTCTGGTGGATAAATAAATAAATTATTTATTTTCGTAAATAGAGCATTTCATACAATAGAGTACAATAGAATTTGATACAAACACGAAGGTATCGAGGAATATAAATTTCCCCCCAACGAACCATAAATGAGGCATTTTGAAGTCGTCGTCCACGTCAATATGAGTGGTAAACCACCACGCGGCCATGCGGCGGCGGCATCGCTGTCGGCGCCAGTAGGCGTCCTACAAGAAGGAGACGTTGTGTGGGCCAAGATGCCTGGATTTCCTTTGTGGCCCTCCATCGTCTTCTTTTCCGCGCAGTCGCTGTTTGACCATGGCCTGCAGATTCCCCCTACCATTAGGGCGACGATCGACCAACCCATGGTGTGCTTCTTGGACAGCATGCAGTATGGCTCTGTGATGCGGAGCAGCATCAAACCATACCTGTCCTACGATGTCAAGTTGGCTTTTCAGGGTTTGAAGAGCAAGAAAGGCTTGAGGCCGAGCCTTGTAGTCGCCGTGAAACGGGCCGAAGAAATCCTCTACCAGGTACACCTGTCCGTCTTCAGTTCGATGGCATCAATGGGTTCTGATATCCACCTAGCGCTCGTGCACTCCATGGGTCAAAGAGGATTACGATGCGATCCATGTTGGGCCTGTTCAGGACACGGCAAAGCCACGACCAGTCGACATGTCGGTGGCCATCTCGAGTGACGACGACGAACATGTTGAGGAGAGCGAGGAGAACGAATCAGACGACGATTTTCAAGCAGCCCCGTCGAAGAAAGCTCGTCCCAGTAGCCGCCGCGCAGTCTCGACCAAGGTAGAACCAATGACCCCCCCTAGCAAGCGGACCAGACCGACCCGCGCCACTGCCGCAGTCGTGAAGGAAGAGGTGCCGCCCCAGCTGAAACCCGCGTCGAGGCGGGGCAAGCCGAGCCCCAGTCCTGCCAAGGTGGAGCTTCGGCAGTCGCCGCATCCGACACGGGCGTCTGCCCGGCACAAGCTGGTGATCCCGGACGAGGTGGAAGAAGTCATTGACGAACTGCCTGTGGCGGCGACGACAAAACTAAGTGCCGCGGCAACTGACAAACACGCGCGATTGCAGGGGGATCACGTCACCGAGTCACCTGATAACGTCATTGATGACGTGGCTATGAAGAGCGACGACGAAAGCGCGGGCATCGAGGAAGAAGACGAGGGCGGCGACGGCCTTGGCGCGCTCACAGACGAGCAAATTGCGTTTTTGGAGCAAAAGTTGGCCAAAGAAAAGGCCAAGCGCGAAAAGCTGCGACAAGGGACGGCCGAGCCCGCCGGTACAGACATATATTGCACTCCAATCTGTCTAAATGTCGAATTATTCTAGTCAAAGCAAACGACCAAGTCAACATCCAAGCAGACATTGCCCCAGAGAAAACCAAAATCCCTCGCCGATACGTGAAGCCACCTTCCAAGGGAGCACCGTCTGATATATCATATTCTCGAGACACAAAGCGTAACCAAGTCAAGGCGGAGGCTCGGACACCGAGGGACGAGGACGAGCACCGGCATGCTGCGCGGGTGAGGGAAGCGTTTGCCTTGCTCAAGCACCCGTACGTCAAACCCGACTTTGACAAGTGGATCAACATGTCGGAAGCCGAGAAGAAGGCAGATTTGGAGCTGCAAAAGCGCCACAAACGAGCCGAGAAACTGCTCGAGGACGAGCTCAAAGCGTCCGAAGCCCGCAACCGACTGCGTCCGCCTGCCAAGCGACCGTCGAACAACTACGACGAATGGGAGAGCGACCAGCCAAAGCCAGCTGCCCCTCGAGACAAACCACCGGCAAAGCCAACCACCCCCCACAGCAGCGAACGATCGCGGTCCCCGCCGCGGACCAAGAAGCGGGCCAAAGCCGCGTACCCCCCCGCCGTCGCCCCCCATCGACAGGGGGACAAGAAACTCCCTCCCCTCCCTCCCCCTGCTGCCCACGAAAGAGATGCCGTAAAGCGAGAGGAGGCAGCTGTCCGGCCCTCGTTGAAGCGCGAGGCAAACGACGCCGCCGAGCCGCCGCACCAGCCGCGCAAGAAGCCGACGCCTCCCACGCCGAAGCCCCCTCCGGAGCGACGAGAAGACGTTGCGAGTCGAATCCAAATGGTGGACGTGAGCACCCCTCTCGAGGTCGCGGTCGTTAAAGAACACAAGGCGCCGGTGCCGCCACCGAAACCAAAGCGAGGCCGACCGCGCAAGTCCCCGGTGGTCGACAGCGACGACGACGTGATTGAAATGGTATATACAGTCAATATTCGAGTCGATTTATATATATATATATATATATATGCTTGTGTAGTGGAAGCCTCCGCAGCAACTCCACCAGAAAATCCACCAGCACCATCCACCTTTGTGGAAAAAGAGCAAACCGCAGCACCAGCAGCGATCTTTGACCCCATACCGAGGCCCGGTATAGCTACATGTGTCGTCTAGGGTATCAAGAGTGTAAATATGTGAATGTGATTAGGTCCAACAGTCGCCCCTGAGTCTGATCTGGCAGCGGACCAACACATCGTTCCGATGCCACACGGACCTTGTGTGGGACAACACCGTGTTCAAAGACCCCGTGCAGCCGTCAGGGTACTCATTGGACATGGCGGCGGCGGGGCTGGACGCGGCGCCGCCCGTGCGAGGCAAGCGCCAAGTGGTAGGGCGAAAACCATACTTATGGATGTATGACGACGGGTGTGTGATTTTGTGGTTGTAGCGGTCGGTGCAGCAGTCGCAGATCCGGCACAAGCTGATGGCCAACAATTTGGACCCGCACACGATGGTCGAGTGCATCCAGTACGCCAACGACGGCAAGTCCCAGGCCGAGAGCAAGACGCTCGTACAGCCGTACGACGTCCGCGTGCATCCGGACGCCATGTTTGTATGCGATCTGCACGCACACCTGGCCATCTGCGAGATCATTGGGTTCCTGGGCGGCCGCTTTGACGACGCGACCAACACGGTGTTCATCCACGCCGCGTTCCCGTGCCGGTCGCTGCTTATCGAGGGCGACGACGGGTCCACTGACGTCGAGATGGACCCCGAGAGCGAGCTCGACCTGCGCGAACTCATCCGCAAGTCGCATCTGGACGTGGTCGGGTGGTACCATTCGCATCCGGCGTTCGCCCCCGACCCGAGTGTGCGAGATATTGAGAACCAGTCCAACTACCAGACGCTGTTTGAAACGTCCATGGATAAAAAGCAGCAAAAGCCGTTTGTGGGGCTCATCGTCGGCACGTACGACCCCAAGCGGACTGTCCCCGCGGGGCTCTTTCGCTTCTTTCACGTGCGCGGCGAAAAGGTATATATATATTGTCGTTTTACCCAATATTTGGCCGACTTTTGTGCTGATTATCGCCAAATCTATCGATCGATTCTTTGAATGTAAAAAGGTGTCCTGTGGTGATGGGTATCACACTA